AGATTAACGATGCCACTAGAATTACTTGTAGTTAAAATTTGTGTGTATAAGTTGTCAGTAAATTGGGCTCCCATCGAAAACGCTTCAGTAGTCATTCTAACACATGACAGTAAGTTATAAGAAAACATGCAAGTTCATAAGTCAGCAACTAACTTTAACTTTTTGAGTTTGTCTTCATTTTATATTTCATATTAATTCCTGCTTATTGCATGATATTTATACTGTATCCTTCAAATTAACTTTCTCAATACTGTGTGTGTATGTGGATGCATGCACACACAGTATTGAGAAAGTTAATTTGAAGGATACAGCATAAATATCTTTCTTCTACCATGAATTCAACTCCAGCCATCCGGCTTGCAGCCCATCAATATACTAATTGAGCTGCCCCAGCTCCTTCCTGGGATGTCATGTGTTAAAGTATATGGACAAGGGTTAAGAGAAACACTGATGACTTCACCAGAATTATCCATTCCATAATCTATATGTAAACTTCGTTTTCTAATGTCTCCAGGAAACAGGTATGTAGGGAACGTTTGCAGCACTATGGATTGGTGGTGGATGGGCAGAGCCTTAATTTCGCACTCAGTGCATCACAAGAGCATCTTGAAGCATTCCAAGACATATGCAAAGCCTGCACTGCTGTCATATGTTGCCGCATGTCCCCTCTACAAAAATGTCAGGTGTGTGATATTTTTACAGATGCATAATATAGTACAACTTATTTGTTCAGTTTTATTTACTAAACATACCTTGAATCACAGGCCAAAGGAGACAAGAATCTACCACATAGATCAAGGTATGGTATTACTGGAAATTTTACCCAAGGAGGGGAAAGAATTATAATTTGTGAAGTTTAAGGTGTTGCACATGACTTCCTTAATTTTCTCTGCTCATTCAGTTGTGTTTCATGAATAAATGCATCCACCAGTTTAATAACATGCATAATTAAAGTGGTAGTTGGTTTGTTTGTGACTGATGTTCTAGTTTTGATCATTAATGTCACCTTTTACCTGTCATCTCCATATTTCTGAAGACTATATTCCTCTTCCAATAAAAGAACACACTTCAAGAGGTTATATGCATCTATGTCTTTCTCATCATCTTTAACAATAAAGAATTAAGCTTAACTGCCTGTTTCTCAACTCTTCATATGTTGTCTGTCAATCTAGCTTTCTTTTTGGCATCCAGGATATATTGCCCTATGCTTTTATCTCTGTGTCTGCTTTATCATTTCATCTCTTTACATTTGCTGCAAAGCATATAGTTCAACTGAATAATTTAAAATTTGCTTGGAAAGCATCATGATGGTTTCTTTACAAATACTTTCTAATTCTTTATTTGCCAGTCATCCCTTCATATGACTGTATGGTCTGAGATAGAGGCATCATTGTAAAATAAGTCACAAAAAATTTATAAAAATATTGTCATTCAGTATTTTATCAAGATTTTAGGCAACACATGGTGAACTTTTTTGTGATTTGTATTTTGTGTTATGTACATTACTTTTGTAGGGTAAACTAGTCTATTCGGTAACGAATGGGCTCTCAGACCATGATGCACAATACTTGATGATAAATAATGTTTTTGAATCTCAAGTAAAGAACAATAGGCTTGTTAGGAAAAGACTAATAACCAAGTCTAGAGTCTTAAAATTTATTGACATGTTACACAATGAGGAATGGGACGGTACCCTGGATAACACAGATGTTAATGCTAGTTTTAATAAATTTTTGAGTACCTTTTTAGTTAATTTTGAATCATGTTTTCCTATGCAATCTGTGGTAAATACTGTGTATAATAATCAGTGGATTACTAATGGAATTAGAGTGTCCTGTAGGCGTAAAAAATATCTTTACATGATGAGTAGAGTAACTAGTTGTCCTAAATTAAAAGAGTATTATACTCGATATTGTTCCATATTAAGAAAGGTCATCTATAAAGCAAAAGAAATGTATTATAATGATTTGTTAACCGAATCCACTAACAAATCCAAGGTGTCATGGAAAATTATTAACAACGAAGTGGGTCATGCTTCCAAAAAGAAGTTTATTCCCACAGAATTAAGATGTGATAAGAAAACAATCCACATAAATACAGCAGCTGAGTCTTTTAACACATTCTTCATAGACTCAATAGATCAGATAATTAGTCAGTTTCCTAACAATGAAGGTGCACATCCCACAATTAGATGTAGCCTTTTTGGCAGCTATCCAGATATAGTTAATGTTCCCATTACTTCAGCGGAAGTCTTAAGCACAATTTTTTCATTAAAGAATAAGACCTCTAGTGGATACGATGGGTTGTCTAATAAAATTATCAAGTTATGTGGGGCGCAGATAGTTAAGCCCCTTACTCACATCTACAATCTTTCCTTAACAACAGGTATATACCCAGATCGACTAAAATACGCTAACATTATACCATGCTTTAAAAAAGGTGATACATCTGAAATATCTAATTATAGGCCTATTTCTTTATTGACAGGTTTTTCTAAATTATTTGAAATATTAGTCTTTAATAGGCTAAAACTACATTTGACAAACAATAATATTATTGTGGATGGGCAATTTGGATTCAGAAATGGTATATCTACACAAAATGCTATCTTCAAACTAACAGAAGCTATTTATAAGGCATGGAATAACAAAGAACTAGTGGTAGGTGTATTTTGTGACCTTACAAGGGCTTTTGATTGTGTCAAGCACAACCTACTAATCCAAAAGTTAGAACATTATGGTATTAAAGGATGTATTTTGAAATGGCTCAAATCATATTTACATAATAGGAAACAGAGAACTGTATTACACACTCATGACTCAACCACCTTTCTTTCTAGATGGGTAACCTGCAGACATGGTGTTCCCCAGGGTTCTGTCTTGGGACCATTACTATTTAATGTTTACATTAACGACCTGCCAAGTACACTAGATGGTTTGGCTCATACCATTCTTTACGCGGATGATACCTCCATTATTGTTTCCTCAAAAGACATCTCAACATTGAATCATAAAATAAATAAAATAATGAATCATATCTATGAATGGTTTCAAAATAATCAATTAGTCCTTAATCTAAAGAAGACGCATGTAATTAAATTTACTACGCCTATGACCATGGACTATCCATTACATGTGGAATATAACGATCAAGTTCTTAATATTGATGAAAGTGTTAATTTCTTGGGTGTGTGCCTTGACAGTCATCTCAAGTGGAAACAATATTCCGATAATTTAACAAAAAAATTAAGTACTGCAATTTTCATGCTTAGAAAATTGCAGCCTACGGTGAGTGGACAAGTTTTACGTATGGTTTACTTTTCTCATGTGCAGGCTCAACTTAATTACGATATCATTTTTTGGGGCTCTTCTTCATTAATGAAAAGTATATTTACTGTACAAAAAAGAGCATTAAGAGTCTTGTTAAGATTAGGGCCAAGGAGTTCATGTAGGGAAGGCTTTAAGACAACGGGCATACTTACTGTCCCCTGTTTATATATATATTCCATAGTCTTGTTTGTACTCAAAAATCCTGATATGTATCAGGTGAATAATGGCATACACAAATTAAGTACTAGGTGGCATAATAAACTACATGTTTCCTTTGTGAGATTATCTTCCATTCAAAAGAGTGTGCATTTTTCATCCATTAGAATATTTAATAACTTGCCATACAATATATATTCTTTGAAAGACAATATTAACACTTTTAAACAAAGGCTAAAAGATTATCTTATTTTAACTGCATTTTATTTGGTAGATGAATACATGGCATACAGGCAAGCATAATACATTATTGTTGTCTTTCCAAGATTATGTATTATCTAGATTTGTTATATGACTGCTTTTTATTTTATTATTGTGTTTTTATTTTATAATTCTTGAATATTTTAATTGTTGAGACTAGATTGCATTATGCAATGTCATTTTGCTGACAAATTCAATATCCAGTCCGGTTTCCGGACAATGGATCTGTGAAATTATGTATCTATGTATGTATGTATGTATATAAATACAGCAAATCAACTGTCTGTCCTGAATGTCCATATAACAGGTATGATACAACAATGAATTTTCTAGGCTCTCGTATGATGCACTCAAATATATCTGCAGGTGTATGTTTGTTTACTCGTACTGCAGAGTTACAAGAATGTTTTATCATGTGTTCAAGATTTTTCGTTTGTTCTACGTAAATGTCACTGGAGAAATCTTACACATGCATAGGCAAAGCACTGACTTGCCAGTATTAAGAAAGTAAAAGTTACAAGCAACATAATGGGACAGCAGTTTTTCTAGTACAAGCATGAAACAATACTTGTAATGGAAACATTTGTTGGAGCTCATTTTGTTTTATAACATCTTGGTTCTTTAAAAGAATTTTGATTCTATATACAGTAAAGAGCTCCAAGTTTTAGTGAACTTCCTGAGTAGCCTATGGAATCTGTCAGTGCAATTGTGATATAACCTAAACAACTCAAACCTTTCATTGTGGCAAAGAATACAGGCTGTATATTTTATGTGGGATTATTTTCTTGTGATTTGATCTTTATTTGGGCTCTATCCAGATATATTAATCACAGGTACAGTACTAGAATACAACAAATATTTGTATCAAAAACCAGTGTGTTAAGACTGAAATTACTTGAAATATAATATTGAAATATTACACACACTCCAGTTTTCAAAACAAGAATTCTGGATAAAACATATTGTCACAGACTGTGACTAGTCATAGAGTTTGGACTGATAATTGAATTTATTGGACATAGAACTGTCTTATATACAAATAATTACACAATTTACAAGTTCACTGTCATTTTATAATCCATTATATTTCCAATATATTGTCACGTGATTGAGTGTTTCTTTACAGGGTTTTGGATTGGATATTGAATTTATTGACTACTTACGGATTGTAAGCACAAGTAACTATAACAATCTCACAGAATTACACACTCCAAATATCACTGTAACTACAGTACACATAAAGTCTTCTCTTCACAGCCTGACTTTCTATTGAGTAGCTCCTAGGCTGCCTCCCATTTCACACCAGCCTCCTAGTCTCTCTTCACTGCCTGAATTTCAACTGAGTAACATCTTGGCACAGACCGCACAGAAAACACCGTTCCTCTGTTGCTTAAGTATCTGTTGTCTAGAAATGGACATTCACTTCTTTGTTTCATGACCTTTGCCTAATGTTTCAGAGCCATTTACTAGCAATGGCTGTTTCTCTGGCTCCACAGTTCTTGCTTTGAGAAAATATGCCACAGTATTGCTCTCAGCCAGTTCCTCATTGGCTGTGATAATAGGGGCTCATCTGTTGGTCAGGTAAATTCCTGTTGGCCCTCACCAGCACACTTATTCTTTGTTCTGGGTCCTGTGGGACTTATGACCATATTTTTCTGTCTCACAGTCTGTCTGTCAGCTTGCAGGCTTTCAGTATATTGCTTTGTTATGGCCTGATTAGAAAACCCCTGCCCCAACAGTTTGACTGTTTTGTGTGTATGTGACATTTGGGAATTGGTCATGGTGTGAATACGTGGCAGTCACTGTTTGGTGCTTGATATGACTTAGCAATGGATGTCGCTGCAACATTTTTTCTGATTCCAAGATTCATACTTATAGGTGTCATGTCACAGTATTTGATCCTCAGGTAAATACAGTAACTTGATGGATGCACCAAAGAATCACTGGGTCCACAATTTAGAACTGACCTAAACATAGAGTTGCATGAATATCAGCGTTCTTTGCTTAGCTTATGGAGATGATGATGATGAGAATGATTGGGGATCAGGAGAGATGCTGTATAAACAAAAAGAACCAGGGTGAAGAATGAATACTTCCACTAGTCGATTTTTAGAAAATAGACAGGACGATGGATAGGTTGGATAGGTAGGTACCAATGTTTTGGTGGAATCTGCTGCCTCTTTTCTTGAGGATAGAAGAATTTTCTGTTCTGAAGAATAAGGAAGCAAGTTCTTCCAAAACATTGGCATCAAATTACATGGTATCACATTCCAGAAGCTTCTTATGGCAAAGAATGTTAAAAAACATTCTTTGCCATAAGAAGCTTAAATCTTAAGAAACTGCTAATCTTACTTAATTTTACTTTGTGGTGGCTCACAATTGACTCTTCAAGATAGAATATAGGGCAAAAGATATGGAAATCAGAAAATATTTCTTACTTAATTTTACTTTGTGGTGGCCCACAATTGACTCTTCAAGATAGAATATAGGGCAAAAGATATGGAAATCAGAAAATATTTCTCAGGTGCTCTGTAATGTCTAGCCCAGTAATGCTGATTGTTCTAACAAGTGATTAAAGTGGTTTTATTTTCACCAGTTCCTTTCTCTGAGCAGTATATAAGATGCACTAGTGTTTTAAAGGAAATTACTGTTTTCTCCCATGAAGTTCAAATTCTTTGATGTTAATTTTCGTATATTTCTGATGATGTATTTGAAACCCACAGAATAGTGATAATAATTATATCATGTATTTGTTTCTGTCTTCCATGAGACTTAACAAAGGAATTTTAAAATTCAAAATTTAATTTTTGAAATGTTACATTAGTGTATAAAGTGCAGCAATTCCACCAAAAACAATTTTAATGCACCTGATGGTGGTTGTGTAGGCTGAAATATGTTGTGATAGTAGAACACATAAAGTGAATGAATTAGGGCTTTAAATTGTTAAAAATTAAATTTTGAATTTTAAAACTTTTACTACAAGTTGCACGGAAGACAGAATCAAATATATGGGAAGAATACAATGCAACAGGATGCTGAAATAAAATGTTGTGGTATTAATTATGTGTTTTGTGAATATAATGTTTTACCAGCACATCTCATTGCATAATTTCCAGCACACATTTTAATTGAAATCAGAACGGACTGCAACATAATCAGATGGGAAATATTTGGCTTCAGGTTGTTCAGCTAGTCAAGAGTTTTCCAGAGAAGCCCATAACAGCTGCCATTGGAGATGGTGCCAATGATGTATCCATGATACAAGAAGCCCATGTGGGTCTTGGTGAGTTCGTGCTTACGCAGTTAGAAAAGAGAGTTTTATTGTCCATTTAGTTTATATTCGTTGAACCACTATCACGGTTTTAGTATACACTTCAGTGGCATTCAAGTGTTTGTAGGTTTGTTGTATTGGCATGAAAAATTAGTCTGATAATAAGAGTTCTATTTGTAATGAAGTATTTCATAATTTTTACAGTTTATCTTACAGAGATAGTTTTTTCTTCATACCCATATGAAAGTTTGATACAGAATTTGTACATTTATAATATTTCAACATGACATATATATATTTAGCCAAAGTAATGCTATGCACACGTAATTACTGATGAATTCCAGTTGGGATACCTTTTTTGTGAAATATTTTGCTTAAATTTGGTTAGTAAATTATTCCTCACAGAGAGCTACCATATTACTTCAAATATAAGATGCACATTTTGCACAGTTCTTCCCATTGAAAAATTAAGGTGCATCTGAAATTAGAGGAATATGCACCTTTATAACTTTTCCCTAAAACCCACATTTAAAAACTGGATGCATCTTAAATTTGAGGGCATCTTATATTTAAAGTAATATGCTATTTACATCAGGATATTCCTTCCTTCCCCTCAGCCCTACAGCTCAGGGTAAGCTTTGGCCTCCTGAACAATCTGTCTAAATTCTTCTCTATTCTTCATCTTTCCTCCACATCCTTTCACTTTCATTTTACAGAGATCATCATGTACATCCTCCAACCATCTCAGCTCCTTCGCTGATGGTGATTTCCGTTCAGTCTATCCATCTGAAGCTGATCATCTGCTTTCTGAACAATTTAGTTTTTACGGTGTGAGATTGTTAGCCTCATGCCCAACCACCAACTTAGAGGGCCAGGGTATCCCTCTTGATCTGGCTCCTACCCCTTGACCTGTCTGGCATGGGTGACCCTACCAGTAGGTACGCTATCACAGGCATAGCTCTCAGGAGCCCTTAAACCCCACAACCATGATAAGGTGGAGACACCATCAATGGGTACATCAGTATATTGAAGAAATGAAAGGTGAAGGAGGATGAGGAGAAGGAGGAAATGGAGGAAAGAGTAAACAGGAACAAGATAGGAAAGGAAAGAAATGGAAAGGGACAAGAAAACACAAAGTTATTGATTTTCTTTAGAATACATTCTTTTCTGTGTAGTTTGATTCTGTCTGTCTACTATATATTCAAGGGTACCTAATTCCTTGAGTAGGCAGCCTTACAGAACAAATGTTCATGCGTTCACTTAGGTATCTGGTATGGTAGTTTTGGTTCCCATCCATATGTTGAAAAGTAAATCTAGTAACTTCTTAATGCTATGGATGCAGGATAGCTCAATTGGCACAGTGATGGGCTATGGGTTCAATTCCTGGCAGTGCAGGATTCTTTTTGTCCCACAGCATTCAGACTGGCCCTGGGGCCCACCCAGCCTCGTATCTAATGGGTACTTAGGGCTCTTTTCCTGTAGGTGGCAGGGTCACAAAGCTAATCAATTACCTCCATCTAGTGCCAAGGTCAAGAATGGGGGAGATATACTTCCACTCCCCCATAGCTCTTCATGGCACAGTGTTTAACTAAATAAGCACAAGGGCAATGTTATCTGATTCATAAAGCACCTTCATAAAATCAATGGTCATATCTTTAAAGGGCACATTTTCACCATATTAGTATTATTTAAACACACATAGTATATATGGTATAATATGTATAAAATATAAATATCATATTTCTTATGTTTCATTATATTAGTATTGTGGCATGTAGACCCATTGCTAGGCAAAGACCTTGAAACAAACAATGAGACTACAACTGTTGCTATGCAGTGACTTTGAGATAAGTGAATATGCAACGACTGTTTCTGAGATGGCTTGGTAAACATGTCCCGCGGAAATAAACGCACACCTAGCAATAGACTTACTGTGGAAATGGGGTGTTTCCTATGTGGTCAATGCCAAAATGTTATGAGCAGGATAGTTTGAAATATCAAGTTCAGTTGAGCCCTGCAAAAGAGCCTAAGAATAGGTGGCACTGTAGTTAAGTTGACAGTTGAGTTGAGTTCTGTACGGGTGGCTGCAACAAGATGACCTGAGTGCATGAAGCTGAATAATCTCCACTGTTAGACACCGTTGCCAGGGAATGGCTGATGAAAATGCAGCAGGCTGGAAAAGGGCTTAGCGGATGCTGTAATGATTTGTAAAGTGTGAAGGTTAGTGATAACACTGTAATTACTTGTAGCTCTGAGTGGTGTGTATAAATGGTCAATAAATCGCTTCACCAATCCATACCATGTGTGTAGTCACACCTAAATTGTAGCAGTATTATTTAATGCAAATAATAACAAAATATAGATTCTAATATATATAAAAATGTAACTGTACAGTTTCTTCTATGTCCTGTTTCCAGCTGTGGACCTAATAGAAAATTCTCAACAATGCTGTGAAATTTGCCCTGAACTGTTGCAAGTGTGTAGGGTAGCCACTCCAGTTACAAGTTATATGCAAATACTGTGGTTGAGTTTATGGATGTATTTTCAATTTTCATTCGCAATTTTTTCTTTTAATTATGCTAGCAAACTTAGATTTGGATATTGTATATTGATTATAATACTGGCTAGGAAAGCAGCCATATCTTGGGCAAAGAATAGGTATTTCTGGATGTACAAGTATATAGCTAGCTAGCTTCAATTATTCTGTATAATGTGAGTGTTCCAACATATAGTAGAAAATTGGTGGTTATGTCCATAATTATGCACTGTATTAATCCAGTTACATAATAGTACTGTTCAAATTCCTGTGTAAAATTAATTCAAATGTTTTAAAATAAATTTCTCAAAATTATCACAAACTTCTGTATGGCCAACTATATCTATAATCCAGTAATTCATTCCTTCACCTGAATGTCTGGATATTTCATAGCTGGAAAAATGTATACATTATTTTTTGAATTTTTACAAGTTTCTGTTAAATCAAATGGAACACTTATGTTTTATATAGTCATCATGTTATTTTTAATTTTGTAATTAAAATAACCTTAAGAAACTTTTGTATTTTATTTTAATGTAACCTTTATACAAATACTCAGAAACCTACATTAAGTGCTATAGTTCAGATATTTGGATGGGTTGGGTTAAAATGTGTGGNTTATATTCTATATGTAGTGGATAGTCTAAAGCCTTAGGAGTGGTAATATGGTGAAAATGCTGAATTTCATAAATGGTGTTCCGGTGTTTAAGGAGTTGTAGTACCCAAGAAGAGCTTAAATATTGTAGCGTGTTTAGGCAACTTAGATGCAGGTTTGGATTTGTAATTAACAACCCATATGTTGTAACTACAATTAATTGTAACACTGTTACTGATTTATGCAATTTACAGTCACTACACACTGATTTCTTCAGTATATCTGCAGTAGACTTCACAGTTTTATAACACGGGAACTATAACAGTCTCCCTAAATCACACACTCCCAGTACTACTGCACTATAGCACACATAAAGTTTCTAAATCACATGCTAAATCCTCACAGACTGACCTATTGTATTCTTCTGTACTCTTGGTGTCAATTTGCTGAACCCTCCTGGACTCTCCATGTTATCACTGTTATTTAAAAACTCAAACACTCAAATATAGAATACACTGCCTTGGTTAGCCTCCATGCCAATCATGCACAGAAAACAGACTATATTGGTGTAGAGAAGTGTTTACCAAACATTGCATAGCAGCGGTCATGGCGCCGACTGCATAGAAAATGCTGTGCTCCTATTGTTATCTTGCGCATATTTGGCTGTGAGGTGTTTAACGATCAGTTACCTAGCAAAGCTGTATTCATCCATGTTACAATATTCAGGTGTCATGTTCTGATATTACTCTGTATGATAAACTTATAATAATGTTGCATATTTGATCAACATGTTGCCATGCAAGAGCTCTGTAAACACGCACGCACGCGTGCATGCAACAGTAGAGCAAGCTGGCACAGGAGCGGTGATGTCACACATCAACAGTAGGTAGCTGTCACGTGACATGTGCTTCCTGCATGTCTGCCAGCTTGCATGTGTGCGGTGACATCACACAGCAACAGCGTGTAAGGGTCACATGATATGCTTACTGTTGGTTGATGTCTGTCCCTTGGCTATATAAGTGAACAGAATTCAGTTGAAGGCAGTAGAAATAGAAATAGTACTTGTGGAAGCATGTGAACGGAGCGAATTGGGACTAGGAGCACAGAAGAGTACAGGAGGTCGGCTTGTGAGGATTTAACTTGTGATTTGAGGACTTTATTTATGTGAAATATTTGGAGTGTGTGATCCAGTGAGACTGTTATTGTTTCTGTTAGTGAAGACTGGGAACCCAAGAGCATGTGCAACAGTGAACTGGAAAGTGTGTAATCAGTGATAGCACTCTATTTAAATGTGATTAAGGGACATTTTAAGCCAAAGTGTTAATAAATGCAGTCATCCAAACTGGAACCCATCATTCTTGTCATGTGTACCTATCATGTACATGCAGAAAAATGTGTCATGCCAGCTTGAAAAGTTTTGCTTTTCATGGTGATTACTTACAGTTAACATTCCTGGGTTCTTAGACCTACACACATCACTTTTGCAACCTTAATAGCATGTTTCATGAATGTGATTACTATGAAAATATATTCATTTTTGTCACAGTCCAAATGTGGTTATTATGGGGGCAATAGTGGCAAGAAAGGACTTTCACCAAGATGCATGCATTTAAAAGAAGAAACAAATCTGAATTTTCCTTCCTAAAACTAACAGGTTTTTTATTTACACTTATCCACTACATTATTGTTATCCAAGAATATGATATGCAAGAGGACAAATTGATACCATGAATTATGCATGCAGATACTGTTTGAAACAAAGATTTACATTTGAAAGTTAAGACTTAAAATTACATTTTTAAATCTAGGACTTTCCAATTTAGACTGTATAGAATTTGGTTAATATTTATACACGGGCTAAAATATGTATACACACTTCAGTATACAAAATATCTTCTAAAATAATTTGTTGGTATACTTTTGGTTCAACTTTGAAAATGTCCAGATATAACATCTATGGCACAGTTAAATAGAGGTTATCTGTGGACAATTTCAAAGTTGAACCGAAGATATACCAATAAAGTATTTAAGCAGACATTTTATGCGCTAAAGTGTGTATACGTTTTTCAGGCCCAACTGTACAGAAGCCTGATTAGTTTAATTTTTTGGATTTTTAAAAAAGTATTGTAAATGATATAGCCATCTAAATCGAGAATGCTAAGCTAAAATTGTACGAGTTTTGTCATTCTGACTTAGAGTATTTGAAGTAGAGTATTACTATATTCTGTAATATGTGTCACATGATGTAGAAATCTATTCAAGTAGAAATTTGAGTTGATAGATTTTCACAAACTCAACAGATGTTGTATCATGGAACACAAAGTGGCAAAATTGCTACCCCTGAAACTCTATTTTCAGAAAATAAGGCTGATTAACAGCCTGATATTAATGACTGTAAGTGATACACACAGCTGTGTGAAGTATTAAGTACATAAAATATGAATTATGTGTATTATAATATCATAATATGTTGTTGACTGCATTTCTTTTTATTAGGCATTATGGGAAAAGAAGGACGGCAAGCTGTAAGGTGCTCTGATTTTGCTTTTGCCCGGTTCAAATTTCTGCGACGCATTCTTTTGGTCCATGGTCATTGGTATTACATCCGGGTAGCAACTCTAGTCCAGTATTTCTTTTATAAAAATATAGTATTCATCACTCCACAGCTATATTATGCATTCAGCAATGGGTTCTCTACACAGGTAATTTCATTAAGCTGTCAATTACAATTATAGTAAAAGATCAGCCATAATTATTTTCCTTTTTTCCTATGGATGTTAAGAAGGGTAAGCATTTCATCTGCATAAAACAAAGAAAATGTTATACTGTTGATTTCATCGCTGTAATTAAAAAGAAAAACTTCAATTATCTATAATTCTTTACACATATGTAATTCTTCCCATAACCATAATATCATTGTAATGTTTTATGTTGATATTATTCCATTCAGTTCATAATATTTTTAATATGAAATACATCAAATTTTATACCAAATTTGGTGCAGCCCCACACTTACAAAATGACTAAATTAAACAAGAAAGGGTTTGAATAAACGTTACAAATCAATGCTAAATTTGACAGTGACACTATTTTATGTCTTGAAAATTTATGAACTTTTGTATTAGAAGGAGCCTGTTATGAAAGATGCAGAATTATCCTTTATCTTTCCAAGGATGCATCTGTATTGTATTGTATTGTATTTTATTTTCATCCGTTTTGCTACATAGTAACATTTGGACACGTCATTCAGTAATATAAGTTAACAAAATAAATCTACATAGTTACAAGCATACTACGAACTATATTGATTGATTAATTGATTGATTTATCCAGGAGTACAACTTAACAAACAAACCTACAAAGTTACAAGGATACTAACAACATTTTACAATCCTAAGCAATATGTAGATACTACATTTGAAAAAGAAAAAAGAAAAAAAAAATACACAAATCATTGTATACAACTTATGATTTGCTATGACATCCAAATATGAGTACTTTCACCATCCATCTATTTATTTAAAACTAACGAATTCATTTATCATGTAAAAGGAATGTTTCAATAAAAAGGATTTTAAGTCTCTTTTAAAAACTGAAAAACCCACTGAGTTTTTTATTTTGTCAGGTAACTTACTATGCAATTCTATCCCCATATTTACCACACTCTTTTTAAATAATGTAGTTCTACAGAACTGAACATGAAAATCCTTGTTTATTCTTGTATTATAACTATGAATATTTATATTCTGGATCAAATCTGCTTTGTGCTTTTTTATGTAACACAACACCTCTAAGATATACAACGAAGTAACTGTAAGGATGCCATAATCTTTAAAAATTTGCCTGCATGACTCTCGTTTACCAAGTCCACTAATTATTCGCAGCACCCTCTTCTGCACCCCCCTTCTGTGAAAGGAGCCCATTACAATATGGGTTCTAAGTGAGACTTCACTATATTAACACTTTCCTGCAAAGAGATTGAACCACTACTAGGCCTCCTGCAATCCATCTGGCTAATTTTTAGAAGCTGATTTTGTACTGAACATAATTGATAATATACTGTATAACACATGACATGCTCTCTGCTTTTAATTTTGTGGTACCTACCTTCTTAACTCCACCTTGTGCTACTGAGTCGTTTTTTTTTTAATATTTAACGCTTTTCAGGCCTGCTGCAGTGTTGAGTTATAATGATTAGCTTTACATAGCAGCCCCCACACAGTAGGTACCCTTTCCTTTTACCTGAGGACTGAGGCAGAGCCAGGTTTCAAAATATTGTAGATCTATGTGATTATGCAAAGGATACGTAAAAAACAGTCTGTCATAACAATAATAAACTATCATCAGGAATCTTTAGAATCACATATATCTTGTGTATCTATAACATTACATAGGTTTGAAGGTAATATTAATCATTTTTATTCTTCCAGCCATTATATGATACCCTCTTCCTCACATTCTACAATGTACTGTTTACATCACTGCCAATTCTCATCTATGGACTGTTTGAGCAAAACTATTCTGCTCAAACTCTATTGGATTATCCACAACTGTACACTGATATCAGGCGCAATGTTCTCATGTCTTGGTCCTCTTTCTTCCAGTGGATATTGTTTGGTGAGTTATGAAAATAATGGACTATTAGAATATAATAAAATATGAATGACTCTAATCCTGACTGCCATAATGTTAGTGTTGCCTCATGCTGTTTCCCTTTATTTTCAGTTTGAATCCTGATTAAAATAATGTCGATGTACAGCTTTTAGATATGCTTTGCTCTGTGTTTCTGGTAAAGGTAAAGTTGTCCCTAAGCACTGTGCCATGAAGACATATGGGGGAGTGGATATATAGATCCACATTTTCTTCACCTTGGCACTAGCTGGAGGTGGTCAGCTTCACTCCCTGGTCACTTTCCCCCCGGGAAAAGAGCGCCTGGTACCCATTGGATAGGAGGTTGGATGGACCCAGAGTTGGTTTGGATGACATGGAGAACAGAAAATTCTTGATCCTACCAGGGCTTGAACTTCAACCCCCCGGTCATCCAGTCTGTAGCCAGTCACTATACCGACTGCTATAATTTAACTCTCCATATTTAATCTCTGCTTATATCAACAAAACATAAAACCAACTAAATAAATACTTGAAACGTCAAATTAAAGACCACAGAACTTCTTTTTCTTTCAATTTTTATCTACTTTACTATATATTGTTAAACATTCTGACTTAATTTTTCCTTGATTTTAGTTTTGAACTAATTGTACACTGTGTTGTTCAGCATTGCAGATAAATGTGTTAAATACATGATAATATTTCAATTTATAATGGGAAGGAAATAAAGCAAATAAGCAAGTTTCTTGCATTCCTAATTAGTACAGAATATGCTTACATTATACCAACATTAATCAAAGGGTAACATGAAAATTATTGTGAATACATCATCTTAACACTGAGTTCCCATAACAAATCTGATAATATTGTTAATGTCTTCTAGCAACGGCTTATGTTAATATATTATTATTGCAGAAAGCAGCTTTGTTGAGGAGTTGTATTATTCATATGTTTTACGAGCTCAGCATGTACATTTTAACTTTTGCCATAGGGGAATAGATGATGTAAATTCTGCATCTGTCAGTTGGATTCTAACTGGGGAGTTTAGCTGGTAATAGTGTTGGCCCTGAAATTAGATTATGAAAGTATGAAATGCACACTTAACAGTCAGAGATTTCAGAAGGAATTATAAACAAAATAATGAAGACTGCAATGAATACTTCCTTATAATATGCAGATATTAAATTTATATGCAACTCTTCACTATTTGTTTATGATACTCAGATTGGTGGGAAGTTGTAACTATATAGGTCTTGTGAATGAATAAACAGTCAGTATTAAGGCTTCAGTGTTTTCCATTATTAAGCAATATAAAAAAAATTAAATATATATAAATTATTTATTATGTGCTTCAAAATAATACTGTAATAGAGCAGTACATTAAAAGAGTGAAAAAATCTGACATTAATGTAGTCTGAAGTTAGTGAAGACTATCTTTTTATTTTCTTCCTTGCAACAGTTGTAATACGTTGTTGTTACCTCTCATTAAATTGTAGGCTCATAATCAATAGAAACTATTGTACTTAAACTACGTGTTATAAGATCTAGATACGGGAAGAGAGTCCCATTCTTGCACTAAGAACGTTACTTAAGGCCATGCTTGCTATGCAAACAGGATGCACCCATCTGCACTTTTCCTGGAAATTTAATTAAGATTTTTTACAACAGCTTTCGAAATCTGATATCTGATATCTCAGTTGAGCTCTACATTTTAGGAGGAGGGTCAGCTACAGATGCTATGACCATTATAATTCACCGAGCTATCCAGAGGGCAGTTGGTGTCACAAGTCGAAATCGTGTAGCAACTTTCGTTGATTGGAATATGCAAATTTTGATACCTCCTAAGTTTTACACTAGATAAATAAGGCAGCTTCTTAGAAGGAAGCTGAGGGCTCTGAATAGCTGACTGCATCAGAGAAGTTTCCCAAGAGACTTTGATTCTGACTTGAAGACATTTGGACGCAAAACCTGCTCTTCTCAGAAATTCTAAAGTAATGTATTAGACAAATGTTTATATTAAATAATTACCAGATTATAGCACAAATTTCGACCATAAATTCAACTCAAACTGCCATAAAGTGTTTAACATTATTGAAATGGAACTGCAGTTGATGGCATGTCAGTATTCTGCCTCCAGTGTTGTTTAATAAATCACATTTCAGTGTCAATCATTGTCGTTATTGCGTGCAAGTGCATATGTACTAAAATGTTCCTCCTGCCTTGCTAGAGCAAGACCCTGGGACACATCTCCTGTTCTTCCAGACCCAATCTCGAGTTAGCCAGCTCACTATCTATCCATACCAGAAGGCATCTTACAGAGTTGTAGTCACCCTACTTTGTGGCTACTGGCACCCAAACAAGTCCTTCACCCTTCCCTATCAATCGGTTAAACAAAGGGAAAGGAGGTAAGGATAAAGCCAGCATAGATGAGCTCTATGACCACTGAAGTAGTCCAACACATGTGACCATAGCAGAGAAGGAGTAACGAAACGGCTGTAAGTGGCTTCCAACATGGCTCCCTTCATTCTTCCACAGATGGTAGGGAAAAAGATTTGTTAGAATGTGATGCATTTGACATCTTCCTGAACATACAACAGAACTAACATAATCAGTTGGACAGCTCACATATAACTTTAGGGTCAATTTTAAATAAAGATAAGTTTTTTCGTTACTTATCTTCAGTATCCACAGGACCCATTAATAACTTAAAATATGAATCTGTAACTAGTAATGAGATTAAAGATATTATTAAATCTCTTAAAAATAAAAATTCCTGTGGTTATGATGAAATACATATTGAAATTGAGTATGCCTTTTATAATGTCGCCTCTTATTTATATATGTAATAGGTCCCTGTCTACAGCATATTTCCATCAAGGTTGAAATATTGACAAGTGTATCCAATGTACAAAAAGGGTGAAAGGTCTGAAATATCTAATTATAGGCCAATCTCTGTACTTACATCATTTTCCAAAATTTTTGAAAAAGTTATTTTTAATAGACTTCACACACATATCTGATAATAATATCTTGGCTGCTGAGCAGTATGGATTCAGGAAAAAATAGATCTAAGGAAACAGCTACATTTAATTTAATTAATAATATATTGCAGGCACTTAATGATAAAGAATTGGTTGGTGGCATCTTTTGTGACCTGTCCAAGGCATTTGATAGCGTAATCATGAATTATTGCTGACAAAGCTGGATTTTTATGGTGTATGAGGAACATTTTTTAAATTGATTGCCTCTTATTTAAATAATAGTAGTAAAAGTAGTAATAAAAGATAAATCATCTATTAAATGTTTCTCAGACTGGAAATAAGTTAGATTGGGAGTTCCTCAAGGATTGATTCCTGGGCCACTGTTTTTTTTTGTTGTATATTAATGACTTACCAGCTGTAATAAGTTATATATCTAAACCTGCTCTATTTGCAGACGATATTAACTTAATAATAACCACTTCAGATTATATGCAGCTTAGAAAAAATCTCAATACTGTTCTTGGGGAGATAATAGGTTGGTTTCAAGCTAATTCATTGACTTTGAACTTTAATAAAACCTATTATATGTATTTTAAAACGAAAAGGTGTCTAATTGATAATTCTCCAATAAAGTATGTGAACAAACAAATAACACTCACTACACAGATATTTTAGTCATGACTCCTGACTTGACATTATCTTGGCAAGAGCATATAAATAAAGTGATTACTAGATTAAATTCTGATTGTATTATTATTATATCTCTTAAATTGTTTTTAGCTATAGAAGACTTAAAAATTGTATATTTTACTTATGTTCATTCTATTATAATGTATGGTGTTGCATTTGGGGGAAATGTGACTAATAGTAAAAACGTTTTCATAGTACAAAAAGATTTATAAGAAATATTATGAATGTGAATCCTAAATATATTGCCCTTATATTCATAATATGTTTTCTTTATTGTTATTGGTAGTAAAAAATATACACCAATTTGTAATTAACAATGAATACATACTATAAATACACGACAAAGTACTAATTTACACATACCATCGGTAAATTTGACCAATTGCAAAAAGGGTGCCTATTATATGGATATAGAAATTTTTAATCATTTACCACGTGATATAAGGGAACTGTTATATGATGTTAAAAAATTCAAATTAGTTAATAAAAACTTTTTCTTAAAGGAATCCTTTTATACAGTAAAAGAATACCTTGAATGGTCAGCATAATGATGGATCACACATAGTGTAATTGTTTTTTTATATTACCTATTCACAGCTGTGTTATTCCTTTGTATATTATTTTTGTTTAGTATGTTTTAGTGTATTATATGAAATATTGTTGTGATTGATATAAATAGTGTCCCTGATTACATAGTGTTTATTTATTGACAAGGTTGTATGTTATAACTGCTACTATTGTACTCATTTTTAATAATGGACTACTTCTATATCTGTGGTGACTTGTTATCACCTGTATGGATTACTTGAAGTATCAATAAATTAAATTAAATTAAACTAAATTCCACATTCCTCTGAATTAGGGTAGCACAGGTTTATAGGTTTGTTCATTAACTGTTTGTGTGTAGTAATTGTTGTAATGCAGTACCATGTAAAGGACTTCAGTTTTATCAAGGCACTCACTTCAAGGAATGTTACAAAATTCCAAACTAAATTTCTTTTTAATTTTGTTTTAGGTGTTTCTTTGGGTTTGTATATGTTTCTGTTTCATTTTAGCGTTTCTTTCGCAGGATTGTGGCATTCTGTTGTGTTATACTTTGTACCTTACTTCATGATCCTTGACAACTCAGTTATTCTTTATAATAATACATCCATGGAAATGGCTGCTTTTGGAACATTCATATTTCACTGTGTGGTGTGTGTGGCAAACCTAAGGGTAAGTTAAGTCTCTATAATACAGGAAATTGCTAGGTATGCATAAAATGTAATAACTGCACAAATAGGAACAGTTATGATGGACATACTACATTTTGTATACCATGTTAGTACTGCATAAAATTCTTTGAAGGACCAGCTACTAAATGCTAGGCATGTGTGAATATCGAATTTTCAAGATCAAATTGAAGAAACTTATTTTTAAATCTCAATTCAAACATTAACTTTTAATTCGTGAAACTTTGATGACTTTTTGGTAACTGTTTGCTTCATATGAAGGGTCATGTTAAAAGGGATTGTTTTTGTATTTGCCTGAATTGACGATATTTCAGGGGTTGCAAAACTACAGGTCATCATAAATTTAAATGTTATATATATACTAGATGCTTTTGGTTCTTTAATCTTTTAGCATGTTAATAGCACAGTTTCCTCTATCTTGATCTGTGCACAACAAACAGGAAAATGAAACAAATGTGTTTTGAGGTCAGAAGCCATGAAATGCTGTGAGATTGTACCATCAGAGTTATGAAAGAAAAGCAGCTATCACTGGTTTATGAGAACATGAGATTCTTCACTAATGCAAGGGTCACTCAGTATTATGTAATGAAAGAAATGCCAGTGAAAAATGACATAATGTGTAAAAATAGTAACATGCACCAGCAGTTATGATTTGTATTTTAAGATCTGGTGATTAAACATGCAGAACAAACAAACAACAGTGAAGTGCCATGATAATACAGTGTTGCCTCGATGTTTATTTTAAGGTGGAAATAAGGTAAACTTGAACTTATGCGAGTTCTATGCAAATATTTCATTTTTAAAGTTTCAAAGACAGGATGAAATGTCAGTTTTGTGCAACATCATGACTTAACAAGAGGATGAAATTTTAATTCAAGCACAGGAGAGAGTGTATAAATGACACAGAGGAACAGTTCTTCTGTACAGCAGAGGTCATCTCTTCACAAGAATTTACCATCACACTTTGAAACAATGTAAAGGAAATGCCAGGATACTTCAATATGCAGTCAAATTACACCACTGATGGTGCAGATGCAAACTCTGTTGTCAAAAAAATATGAGAAGTGAAAAGATCTTAGTGTCTGTAATGTCAACAAAGTTGGTGGACACCACCAGCTACTGCCATATGTGATAATGAATTGAAAAACTAAGCCTAAGGTGCAGATACCTATGGGTCTAATAATCATGTGTTAAACTAAGGAATTTTACGAACTGATGAGGGGCTGGGTACAAGTATTCTGGAACAGGAGACCTAAGTATTGTTGAGAAAACAAAGAATGTATGTTCTGGATGCATTTAAAGGTCATTTAATGCTCCAGGTCAGATCTGTGATTCATGCAGTGAATTCTGACCTTGTGGTCATATGTAGAGTGATAACTGCATAAATAAACATTCTAGTGTATAAGCCTTTCAAGGATCATTTGAAAGAATTATATTTTAAACGCTTCTTGGTAGGGGTTCATTTTCTGACATCACTGGATAATAAAGAGGCCTGGGGTAGAACTACTGTGCCAGTGGATCAGCACCATGGAAAAGATCTCTCAAGAAGTACCAATCAAAGGATTTAAGAAAGTGTTTTATATCTGATAAAATGAATGGAAAGGAGGATGTGGAAAGTCTTGAGAATGCAGGCACTGAACATGTGAGTGTGAGCAGTGAATGTAAGACAGAAGGTGAAAATGTGAAGACAAAGAATCTCAGACCAGTGATGGGAATGGTGAATAGAGACTGATGAAGCTGAATAAACCATAGTGACTTCAGGAAGGAACCTGATTCAATAAATGTCATAATATTTAATTTCCTTCTCATGTCTGTAGTAAGAGGATAAATTTAATTTACAAAATTATTTTTTCTATACAGATATGTATCCTAGTGTGGCATCATCTTACATTCAGAATTATCCTCCATTCAGGTAAATATGGTAGGACAATGTAAAAGTGGCTTGATCTATGGATTGTTACAGTGAAAAAAATAGTCTCTGACAGAATTCTTGTTCTTATCTTGATTCTTGAAATTTTTTCAAATTCTCATTTTGATCTTGTCTTGAACTGAAAAAGTGATTCTTGGACATGCCCTCTAAACACTATATAGTAACAATTATCTACACTCAGTTGTTTCACTTCATGTAATATTAGTGATTGTTAAATTTATTTAATGTCCATTTTCATCTAAAATTATGAACCAGCTTTCACATCCCTCTCACAGTTCTCTTTAATTTCCATCAGTCTGTTTTATTACACATTCTGCAGCCTATTGTTGGTGAGAATGTAATGAGTTGGTGGGGACATTTTCACAGTGCCTATCATTACTGTGAGTAGTTTGCACTTCAGCGTGTGCATGAGTTGAAAGTAGGGTAATGTTGGACTGTGTATGTGGCAGAATAACCTTTCCACACATTCTTATGATTTCACCCTATATATACATTTCCCTTTAGATCCTTCACCCTTCACCTCAGGAAAGAGTGTTGATGTTGTGATAACACAAACAGTAATTTAATGGTGTTTAGCTGTGTTTGCATGATGGGTGCAAGTAGGAGGTAAGCCATGGATAAGGTAAAAAGAAAAGATAAGGCTATCCCTGTAACAGGCCGTTAAGGCCCATAGTGTTGTGAGATGTCGAGGCTCCCAAATTTTTTAAGACAGTNCCCTTAACCCCCCCCCCCAGGAAGATTTCTGGTACTCATTTCTGTCAGGGGCTGAGTCGACCCCAGGACCATAGTGCAGCTGGAATGATTAAGTCAATTGGAAAATCCAGTGACCTCATTGGGAATCAAATCTGTGACATTCTGGCTTGTAGCTTAGTGCCTTAACTAACTACGCTACTGTGTGCCCCAAACTGAAGAAGGATATGCAACAAATATTAATACCAGAAATCAAAATTTTCTTTAAACATGGTGCCATCCATGTTTCAATACAGAGAATGCTAGGGAGATCTGTAAAAAGACACTTAAATAGCTTAAATGAAAGCTTAAAGTTAAATATTAATACACATAATTGGCAACGCATGGAATTCATATACTGTATGATATACTGTATACACATATGATAGGAAACCTAAAAGAAGCTTCCTTAAGACAGAGTTTACTGTGAATATAATTTATAATACAGTGCTGGTAATTTACTGCAGCAATACAGACTGATGGCCACAGTCTGCTGTCACTAATGTCTCAAACTCTATATGTTGTTGCTGTCCCCATGACACAGTCTACTATTTTGTTATGGAACTTCTGTGAACATAAAAGCAGGAAATTTCTTGATCAGTTTATCAAGAAAGGATCTGTGCTATACAATCAGTTATATTCTCAAGTAGTTGGTCTTTCTTGAACTAATAGTTGTGAAGAAACACTACAAACATCATAAATCTTAAGGTTTGTATTTAATTTAAATGTTTTTTTCTCATTTTAGCTGGTATTAAGAAGTCATTACTGGACATGGCTGTTTATTGGATCAGCATTACCAGTGACCATATGTGGCTTCATAGCGGTCACTGCTGTTTATTCCATTGTAACGTGAGTTTCTTTCTTGCTGAGCAAGAAATTAGATTTGTTTCTGCTTCAGGGTTGACAGAAATGGTCATGATAAATATCAAAATGCATATCAGTTGTGAATTATGGACTATGAAGGACTTAAAATTATGGTATATGATCACAGGGCTTCGTTATGAATTATTATACTTACTGAAAGAGATGTGCTCTTTCTTACAAAACTCTCTGGGAAGAAGACTTCTGTATATTGAAGAAAATCTAAAGTCATTTATAAATCTCGAAAAGTAACTACCAAATCATCATCATCATCATCATCATTAATATGTCAGACGACAGGTCGACAGTCTTTTCCAAAACAATTCCTCCATTTAAGGCGATCTAGAGCTTTCTCCTTCAAATGACAGTATCCTCTTCTGTCCCCAAGGTCATCCAGCATCTTCTTACGTCTTCTTCCTCATCTTCTGGTCACTTCTATCTGCCTCTCTATCTTTCCTTCAATAACTTCATTTAGAAGGCAGTTACCGCGTAAGATATGACCAATTGGATTTACTGAATTTGAAATAAATGAATGAATCCAATTAGCCTTCCATTTCTCTTATTTCGTGTAGGACATGCCTCTGCTCACTGACTCTAAATAACACTTCTTCATTTCTCACATAATCGGCCCAACTGATCTTCTCCATCCTTCTCCAACACCACATTTCAAAGCTTTCCAGGTGTTTCTGATCTACTGCCCTAAGTGTCCAAGTTTCAGCCCCATACAGAGCTATGCTCCAAATATAGCATTTCACTATTTTCTTCCTCAAATTTAAGTCCAATTTGCTGGTAAAAGATTCTTCTTCTTGCTAAATGCAGCTTTTGCCATGGCAATCCTTGAACTACCAAATAAATGAGTAAAAAATAAATTGGGTTCCCTGTACTTCACATTTATTGTCTTTGCATGGTAAATTAGATAATGGAGAATAACTGTTCCAATGTGCAAGATTCGGGACACTAATACAGGAAGAAACTTTACTAGAAGAATCTGACACATCAGCAACTGAATTGCAAAGCTATGTGTGCTTACCAAGGAGCAGCCAACAACAACTGATGTAAATCTGACATCTAAAAATTGTGTGCAATATGAATCATCTGTGATAAATAACTTTATGAAGTTTCAGAAAGGCATGGGTTCAGATGCATACATAATACTCTTGAGCTCTTCACTGGTTTCCTATGGAAAATGCTTTGCATATTATGTTTAGAAAGTGAATTATAAAAATTATGACAAAAAGGATTTCATTCTTCATGACCTTAAAATTTACAGCACCAAAAACATGATCTTAATGAACTGTGAGAAACATAATA